AAGCCCCCAGGATGGTTGGTGATAACTACGTGGTGTGCAAGCAAGGGAAGAGCGATGCCAACATGGGATGGTTGCACAGCTGCTCTGGGGAGCTGCTACACAGATCCTTGSCTGGACTGTTAAGTCCAAAGGAAAAAGAAGGGAGGGGAAAAAAAGTAGAATTGTAATTCTGTATAAATAGCATTAGGTTTAAGTGACACCATTAGACAAGGAATATTCTCAGCAGCCTGATGAGCTGGAGGTTTGTTGTAATTACCGCAGGTTGGGGTGACATTTTTAGCTGAGGTTGCACGGTTTCATTTAGACTTATTTAAACAAACTGGAGCTCAGATACTCCCTGGCGAGTGTGATGCTGCTCTAATCTTTTGTTAAGCTGTCTTTCACAAATTTGGAAATCATCCAGCAAAAGAAGCATTAAAAAGGTTTCTATTAGTAAAGTTGCCTAGATAGAATGACAGCCGGTGACTTCTTTTGTGGAGAACCCCATTCGTTTCAATAATATTATTTGGAAGCAGGCGTTCTTTTCATAAAGTACTGCTTTGTATGAAGCTAACTATAATTTTAAGAAACAGAATACAGTATTTAAGTGTTGAAACTTTATTGTTTTAAATTAGAACCTCAAGCACATGGGAGCCAGCTTCTTGCAGGGATTTGGTGTGCAGCTCCCTTCCTTTCCCTGCAGTATTACTGGGGCCGCACCATGTGTTTTTGGTAGAAACAGCGTGGAGAAGGTTTCTGCAGTGTTGACTGTCGCTAGCTTATTTTGGAAAGTCTTACGTGTTGTTTTTTTCCGCTGTCAGGTTATGAAGGCAGCAACAGTATATGTGAAAGAGCAGTGTGTGTATGTATAATGAAAGGCTCAGGAGCAGTCTTTTCTCATGTATTTATAGATAACTATATTTCAGAAGTGTGTAGCTGGACTGTGCCCTTGGAAATTGTGAAYGTACTTCATGAAGGATTCGGTGGGTGAAATGAGGTTGTTACTTCTAATCTTACCCTTAGGTACACYATAGTTATCGTCATTATTTGATATTTGTATAGTTATCTTCATTATTTGATGTTTGCTACCACTCATGCACCTATTTATGTGATTATATTTTCTTAACAGGTGCTTTTTTAGTGAATTTGTAAAGCTGATTGACTGGGCAAGTGTTGGTTAATTACTAAGGAAATGTTTAATGAGCTTCTTAAGCCTTTGGTTGWAAAAAGGGAGAAAATAGTCTTAAAATCATTTCTCAGTACTTTTTCTTCAATTTATTTTCTGTTCCCTCTCTCTAAAAAAAAAAAGCAGATAGAAATAAAGAACGGTATCACCAATGATATAAGTAAGGGTTGCTCTCTGCACGCTCATGGCCAGGGTTGACGTGTGCCTCTTCATAGTGTGAAACTCGCAATGAGAGCAGCATCTTTAATCTTAGCTGGGGTATTTATTCAACATAAGGGTTTGTGGAATTGAGAGAGAAAAGGTAGCTTATGGATATGTGTTTCAGTTTATTATTATAAGTAAATTGCTTCTGGAAATACTGCTTTCATAAGTTAAAACTTAGTTTTATTTCCTCTCGCGGGGCATTTTGTTCTACCAGTATGCCAAATAATTGGCACTTTGGTGTCGGAGTTCTGCTTTCAAACGTTTTATTTGTCTTCCAGACTTAGCAAACACTGATAACATCTTTGTTTTCCATTCTGCTTGTTTCAATAGTACTTGCATGTGCCTGGATCRCAATGTATAAGGAACTTATTTTTATAGCACTTTGCAGATGATTTCAAATGGCCTACATTATTCATTTTAACGCTGGGAAGAAATGGAAATAATTGTTTTGCTTGCAATTCTATGACCTGTTTTGTGGTTTTGGCGTGAAAACAGTAATATTAAATGATCTCTAGCACTAATAACTTGCTTTTGAAATTAATCATAGACTAGCAATATCAACGTAGCATCTTCCATTAGGTGATGCRCTGGCAGTTCTTTCTGCAGGCTTTAGTAGCGTTGGGTGAGCAGCCTGGTCGTCGTCTTCCCCATGTTGTCTCCTGCAACCCYATCCCTCAGTAGGGCTCCAGTATGGTTGTTGTTATAACCAAAGTAGAAAATTAGTTGTGGAAAATAGAGAGGGGAAAATAGAGTCCTTGTTGGGAAGGGCCTTAGCCCCTCGAGCGGGGAAGGCCTGAGACATCGAGAGAGGGCAAAAGTGGAGTCCAAAACCTTGTTATGTAGGAGAAAAATTATACTGAGCTGTGCTAGGTGCATTTAGATGCTTGAAAATCRCATTGAAGATCAATTTTAGTTGCGTTTAAATGAGTTGGAGGCATTTTTGATTGTCTTGTACTGAGACATCATGCCTCAGGTTCTGTTGGTCGCTTAAATACGCGGCTCACTAAAAGAGATATAGTGAGACCTGCTTGCTTAAAGGCTTTCTCTGCCTTGCAGAACTGGAAAATAACAGCGAATTAATTTAATCTTGGTAGATATGTTCTCTAATATACCAAAGTTCAGCACAGGAAATGTTGCCATAAGCCGTACTGTCACCAGAGAGGTGGTTGCATTTCAGTGACTCCTGGAAGCATGTAACTTATTAAGCACTTAAGGATATAATGTAAGGTGGTATATAAAAGACTTCTCAAAGTACTAATATGGGCTACAGTTTACGTTGCCAAGTTACAAATTGCTTTCATTTCTACTAATACTGCTCAATCTCATAAAAGAGTGATCAATAGATTTCATGAATGTGAAAGTACTTGGCTGCTGAAAATCACCAGTTCTAGTGCATTGCATATAGTCCGCTCAACTTTATTGGATAAATAAAATTTTCCATTGCAAGGGTAGCTAGCAGTTTTATGTGGTTGTGGGGTGTTGTATTTTTAAACTAATTTGAGTAAGAAAACAGAGTTGTAGAGTCGTTTTTTGCTGAATGACCCCAAAATAGTTTGGATTAATTGGTGAGGAGTTCAAATAAGCATTAGCAGAATGGGAGGAAAAAAACAGAATCTGGAGTGTTTTTTTTTTTTAATTGAAAATGTGTGTGTGCATAGAATAAAAACATAATTGGGTTGGACTCGATGATCTCTGAGGTCTCTTCCAACCTTGGGCATTCCATGATTCTATGATTCTATGATAGTAATAAAGTTTTCATCAAAGAGCTGTTGCTTAGATTTTGTCTAGGTTGTGTACTTTATTTGCAAAATACAAGTCGGTAGTTTCTCTCTTTCTGTCCTCTTAGGCATTAAGTGATAGTTTCCTTCCCTTCTGACTGGTGGGTCCCTGCGAACGCAGGGAGGCATCAGCTGTGTCCCCCACGTGAAGCCTCTTTGTTTGTCCCTTTGGACCTTTGCGAGAGACGCTGAGGCTTGGGGGTCATTTAGTTTGGAAGCAAAATAAAGATTCTGCAATTTCCTTCATTCAGGAGAGTTTGGGCGAGGGTGGGTGGAGAAGGTCACTTAAAACTGTAGATATGTCTGAAACTCCATTTCCAATTAATGAAGAAAATTCTCAGAAGAGAACTAATTGGTGTGGCTAACAAAGTGTCCTATTAAARCAGCACATTTAAAGGCATAAAGAGCCTATGCATAGATGTTAATATGAAATTATGGCATTTAAATACAATATATGCCAGGTAGCTGTGTTCTACCAACATTCTTCTCCCTCATAGGCGAACATTGCGTATTTTATCACAGCAAGATATTTGATATTAATAGGTTGGCTATGTCTTTTGCCAAATYCATACTTGGCAGTACCAATGCAATGCCAATCACACTTTAGGTTTATTTCTTAGATCCATAAAAATCTTTTTTTCTATAATAATATTTGAGGAAGAAAAAACCTACACTCCAAATCCAATTTTTATGGAGTTGTAAAGCTAAGTCACTAGTCTGTGCAAACACTGACTAGGATTAGAATTAGGCATGTTTCAACGTGATTGACTTCTAAGGAACCATTTTCTCTTCTGATGAATGAATGAATTGAAATGTAGAAGTTGGACACCGCCACATGAAGCTCCGAGACGTCCTGCTTTAATGTGGCTGGCAGAAAGCTTGACACACTTGGGCCGTGTCGGTGTTCTCTCTGTCTGGCTTCTCCTTCCAAGGGAAGGAGAATTGTCTTGTTATAAGTACACTGAAATAGYTCTCAAGTACAGTGTAATTTCTTTAGGCTTCTGGATGGCAAATAACTCTTTTTACAGTGTGATCTAGGGCATAGAGTGTCATTCTCTGCAACTTGCTTTTCATAAAGCACTTAGCTTTGGGGCTACTTGAATATATGCTGTATGCATGTAGTAGTAATGCTGTTGCTTTCCTTACTCCACGCCTCTGGGACACACTGTTAGAGAGTTTCTATATGCTTGTAAAATATGGTTTAGAGGTGCTTTTTTCAGGAAGCTCATGGCAAGTATACAGATTTCTTGCAACTGCTCATGTATGCAGTTTGGAAACAAACTTGAGAAGGTGGTAGCTGGTAATAAGTTTTTGGCTGTGCAAGAAAGAATTAATGTAAAATTTAGCTATAGTCTTCCTGTTAAGACACTGCACATAAGTGTTGTAAGTGGCCATTAAATATATTTCTTCTACAGCAGGGTAGTTCACTTGCTCTATAAACGTGCCTGGAACATCCTGTTGGAGCCACTATTATTAAAAGTTTAACACTATGGATTGCAAACCACTTCTGGCCTACATGCAATGTAAAATCAAACATAAAAGTAGCTTATTTTCTTTGCATGACAATAATGGCATTTAATTTGGAATAGGTATTATATGTTTTTGTAGTTGGAGAAAACTTTGGCAATGAACTGTYCCAATGCTTGGTGTTAACTTTGGTTCTACTCTTCTTTACTTGGGAAAGTTAGATTTTTAGATCTCACTTTCCAATAGTCAGATTTTTTCCATTTATTCAGTGAAATCAGGTGAAGTGTATTGTGAAGTTAAATATAAGGTGTCTAGGATTGTAGCATCCTTGAGCTGTTAGATCTTTACTGACTAAATCTCTCTCTCTCTCTCTCAACTCAACGCAGTTACAGACATCGAGCTGAAGCGACTGAAAGATGCATTCAAGAGAACTTGTGGGCTCTCATACTATATGACCCAACAGTGCTTCATCAGAGAAGTCCTTGGGGATGGAGTTCCTCCAAAAGTTGCTGAGGTAATCTCCTATGTGCTTACTCCTTTTTAGATAGGCAGCTAATTTATTTTCTGTTAATTTTTCATGCAGTATCGCGGTGTACATCTTCTGTCTGAGGTTAATGTGCCTGACACGGGTATGGGCTGTCACTCATGTGCTTGACTAAGCTGTTAGCGCAAACCCAAGTAATAGGTGATAGATGACTTTGAAGTACCCCCTAAATATCCAGGTGTAGATTTGGGGAAGTGGGAAGTTGGGAATGGTTAGCACTATCTATAGCCCTTATAACAGAGAACTTTATTTCCTGTGGATATACATGTGCGCTTTTTTTTTTTTTTTTTTGAGATCCTCTTGGATTTTACTTTGTTTTCTAAAGTGCAGATTAATCTTTACAAGCTTTTACAACCAATTTTATTTATCAATAATGTATGAGCAAACTGGAAAATATCCAGAAAGAAAATGTTACATGGGTGTAAATATTATATATATAAAGTAGAGTAGTAATACAAGCCTGCGCACATTCATGTTTAGAAAAATGTTTTATTAAGTTGTCTCTGATTTGAGAAAGAATTTGTAATGCTATTGCTAGAGCAAGAATAAGACTAGCCAGACCTTTCAAATGATATTTTGCTCCATGTCACTTCTAATCACAGCTTCTATTTCTGGTGTCTTCAGTGCTACTGACCTCGCAGGCAGCATAGAAGCCTTCCAGTTTTATTTAGATAATATGAGTAGTGAAGTATGCAATGCAAAAGGTTTAACAGTGTGAAATATATTGCAGTGATATTTCCTTGTGTAGTTTGAAGACTTACTATGTGGAATAGCTGTTYTGTCTGTGAATGTAGTAGACTTCTTTTCTAAACTGGATTGTTTTCTGTTTTTTTTTCCTTCCTTCTCCCAAGTGCTATCAATGACAATCTTTCTTGCGTCTCAGTATAGTTGGCAGTGTGAYTTATGTGGATATTCAAGCACTTAACAGGAAATACAATATATATTAGCACCTATCAAATTAAAAGAAAGTGTATGATTTACCCGTTGCTTAACACACACGAAGATTAGTATTGAAGTCATGCTTTATCTGGATGATTCTGCTACTAGTAGCCCTTATGATAAAAGTCTGTGTGTAAAATGGCTGTACTTAACTCATCTTACTAACTCGTTTCAGTCCCATCAATGGGTTAAACGTAAATGGTAGGAGTTGAATTGATTTGCTGAGTATTGTTATACACTTGTTTTTACCAGTTTCCCTCTTGACTTTGTGGGGAGAAACAACCACAGTCAAGAAGCCTGGAAGCCTGAAAAGACACAGGATGCCATCTTAATTTACATTGCTGGAAATTAAGACTTATTTAAATCAACATAAGTTCTTCTAAAATTATACCAGTGCAACTAATTAGAAACCGAGTCCTGTGACTTCTCCTTTTTCCCAGCTCTAAGTACTATATAATTTTAGTCWAATCACCATTTTTAAATAGAAAACATGTGGTTATACTCTTTATTATCTATGAAGGGTAACATGTCAGAAGAGATGATCTTTTATTATAAGTTGTGATGGGGAAAACAGTGATTTCASTGCTTCATTTACTAACATGTGGATTTTTTTTGTCTTGAAAGTTCCATTRATGGGAAATACAAGAATTCTGTCCCATTTGTGCTCCTCTTTTTTATAATTARATTAAGACTTCAACTCTAGTGTTCAACTGGCCAGCTGAGCTGTGTATTTTTGAAATATTTTCATGACTGAAGGAAAATCACTTACATGCACAGTGTAGCCTTGAAGGCRTCTTGTTAAATCAGAATGATTAGAAAGCGAAAATGTGGAATTCAAATCCCTGCCATGACAATGTCCGTGAAGCTTAGACAATCGCTGTGTCCAAACAGAGCATGAATTTAGTTCTAGCAATTTAGCCCGTCAGTATCTGAAATGGATTAAACTGAAGTAATAGAGGAGGAAGATCTGACCATCCCACGGGACATTAACCTATTTGGGTAGCACTGTGTCTTAAGCATAATAGAATGAAATTGGGGGTTGTATGTGTCTTCCTTAGAATGAGATCCTTCTAATTTAAATTTACTTGCCTTCAGATATCTTGTAATGGTCTAAATGTGTAGCAGTGAGCGGTAGCTCGTTGAATAGAGCAGGAGAGGATGGGCCTTGGTGGCACGCAGAGCTCTGTCTATGTTGGCAGAGGGAATCTCACCAGTTCAGTGGCACGTCTGGTAGCGGCTGGGCTGGCACCCAGGTGAACAGGACCTCAGAACTTTCTCCTACCTTGTTGCCCGCTCTGTTTTGGAGGCGACCTGGAGCACACGCTGCACTTAATGCTGCTGCTCTGCTTCCTGTTGATGGAATGGCCACAGCTTCTCACAAGCCAAGCCTGTCAAAGACAGTTCCAGTAGTTAATTTATTGTAGCTGTTTTGTCTCAGGTATTTCCTTTTTGTTTGTTTGTTTATTTCTGATTTTTTGCCATTGCAAAACTCTGTGGCTTAGCCAGATCTACCCATAGCAGTGCCCTCAACAGGCCCACAGCATGCTCTGCTCACACCCAGGCCTGTGTTGGTCTTGGGAACATGCATCTGAGATGGTGAGAGCTGGTGACTCATGCACATGACTGTGGTGTTCAGCTGTGGTGTCTCCCCAACCTTCGCTTTGCTTGTGCAGTAAGATAGAAAATGCTGGTGGCAGCACCGACATTGCTGCTAGCAGAGGGTTTCTGGAGAGGGTTTCTGCTTGTGTCATTTACCTACTGGCATCTTTTAGCAGCCTCCCATGGCACGGTGCTTCCCTCAAAGTGCCCTCAGAATGGTCCCATTGCGAATCAGAAGTTTCTGAAGGGTGTCAGGTTGTGATCACTTTGCGATTTACGCGTATTTTTTTATGAAAAATTATTGTAAATGGTGAAGTTGCCAAGAAAGGGAAATGTTCTTTTATTAATAACAAGTGCTGGTGACCAGATGACCTCAGAAGTTGTTGTTTTTAATGCTGCAGGAAGATTTCTTTTCCTCTGAAGTTTCTTTCCAGTCTTCAGCTAAAATATTTTGAGATTTTTTTTTTTTTGTAACAAATGTAGATTTAAATCTTGCTTTGTCAGTGTAGAAGACASAAATTCTGTTGAAGTACTTAACAGATTTCTTGGCTTACAGTTAGAGTGACAAATATTGATGCCTGTCAGGTCTTTGGCAAACAGCCTGCTGGCATGTAGACCTGTGTGAATGATATGGTACTTTTGTCTGCCTTGATATAGGAGCCATGGAGCTTTAAATTTGCAAAGGGCTTTCAGCCTGTTGAAAATTGGTTTCCTTTGTGCTACACTTCATTGTAATGTTGCACTCTCTGAGTCCTTTGAGAGACCAGATTGATAAAAGATTGCTCTTGATTAAGCAAAATGTCCTACATCATTAGGGTAGAATTTAAATGTTCTTTTGTAATTGAAAAATCATTTATTCTACATCAGTTATTTTGTGCTAGTTGCACAGTTAGTTTAACCCCTAGTTGCTTATTTCCATCCTGAAGTCGCCCTCTTTCAGTGAACTGGGTTAGTGAAACTGATAATAAAAATGATTAGTTTGAATCCAGGTTGGCTTCCTGAATCCCCAAAAGTGAGTTGGGGTTCTAGGAAAGCAAATGTAAGTGCAATACAACTTAGTTTTAAAAGCACCTGTATTTGAATGTGACACAATAAAGCTAAACCATTGTAAAATAAAGTCCCAGTATAATTTGTTGCTTTCAGTGTCATATCTGTTCTCATTGTGTCTCTTTCCAGTTAAAGACATGCTGACGTTCCTGTTCTCTTCTCTTAGGTTATTTATTGTTCATTTGGGGGCATATCCAAAGGACTGCACTTCAATAACTTGATAGTTGGATTAGTTCTACTTACAAGAGGCAGAGAGGAAGAGAAAACAAAATGTAAGTAGTGTAACCTACAAGCATGACAAGGTGTAGAGTGTGTAAAAGAACGTTTTCATGAAGCAAGCTTATATTGTGATATACTTGGGAACTATTTTTCTATATAACCAGGACATACATGGTTGCCAATATAGTGTAATTTTTAGACATTGTATATCTTTAAATTCAATGCATTTTAGTTTCCTGCACTCAAAATGGATTCTTATATTTCATCATGAACGTAAATGTTTAATCCAACAAAAAGATTGTTGAATACTGCCTGTGGGCAGAGAAAGGAGGACAACACTGATATTTGTCAAAATGAATGAAAGCATCTGCCTACTGACTTCTGTTGTTTTGTCTTCTTGTTAACCTGAATTTGCTTTCTTTTTGATTAGTGGCTAATGGTAAAAGAACAAGGAGATATTTCACAACCTAAACTGTATTGCAGTTGAGTGAATCTAAAAGTTTCCGATGCTTTAGTTATCGCGCAGTTTTTGGCCTTTACAGTCAGTTTAAAGTAATGTTTTAAAAATATCACTGCTGTATTTGCTTAAATGTTTCTTTTCTTCCTCAGACATTTTCAGCCTCTTTTCTAATGAATCTGGGAGTTATGTTGTTCGTGAAGAGATGGAGAAGATGCTGCATGTGGTTGACGGGAAAGTCCCAGAATCACTCAAGAAATGTTTCTCTGAGGTATTTCATTGTCAAAAGAGTATAGACCAGCAAAATCTGGGCTACATGAAAGTTGCCTGAGAGGCAGCAGCTTTGTGTGTGGGTTTCAGACAACCCGAATATCTTAAATTTTATCTTACTGTATTGAAGATAGCTTTATGCTAGAAGGCACTGTGTAAAAGGCATTGGCTGAAGCAGGCTCAGTTATTCTGGTGATGATACTATGATGTATTGATTACATTCTTCTTTCTTGGCTGCAACCTCCAGTCGTATGTACACTGCAGTCCAGTTTCTGGAACTGACCCACTTCAGTATTTCTTATTTATAATTTCACATCAATATGGCATGATGAATTATGCACTAAAAGTTAATTGCATACTGTCCAAGAAATTTAGAAATACTTTATGAAGGTACTGTAGAAAGAAGTATCTAGGCAACTTGATGCCATTTTCCTTTTCAAGACATGCTCTATATTGATTTTTTTTTTAAATAAAAATCATGTAATAACCCTCTCGGCAGGATTTGCTGGCTGGTTAATCATAATAATTCATTGTTGGATAGTGAGAAAGTTTTATGTTCCTGATGTAGGAAGGCTTTCCTTCCTGCTGTATGGCAAATGAGGTTGTACTTTCAAGAATGATGTTTGTAGGGACTTTCAACCTTTCCTGCAGAAAGGCTGCATGTACTCAACTAGAAATATCTTGTTTCTGAAACACAGGAAACAAATTAACAAGTAATATCTGTGTTGCTATAGTTGCTTAAGTTGCACCAACTGCACGTGTTTGCTTGAAATGTGTGGTTCCCCCATGCCCCTTGCTTCCCCTATCCAAAGCCTTCCTCTCTCTCATCTTCCTTACTTCTCTAATCGGTCAGAACAGCAGAGAATTGTAGAGAAGCACAGGTCTTGTGTCTGATCTAAATTGCTGCAGAAATGAATAAATCCATTATGGGCTACATTTTGCTTCTCTGTTCATTTGGTAGTGGATTTGTTTTTACTTAAGTGGCATTTCCCTAATTGGTTAAATCCTGCAAATCCTGCCAAGTCCTAAGCATTGACTTGCCCTTCTCCTCACTGTCATTCATTTCTCTGCCCTTGTGCTGGCTCAAAGCATTCATGTGACTCCTTGATGAACTGGGCTGGGAAACTGATCTGGCTGAAAAGTAACCCTTTTTTTTCTGTAGCTCTTAATCCTCTAGGTTATTTTTCAGCCAGATCTGTTCTGCCACATGGCTGCATTAATGTGACTGCTATTGCAGAAGAGAAAGGAGCAGAACAGCGCTGAGGGGAAGAGGGTAGCACTGTTCTCTCACGGGTAGTGTGGATTTGTACAGATTAGGTTGAAAATAGAATAGCAATGTAGCCTTCATCCTGACTTCCTTCAATTATTAGCATGTAGAAGTCTGTGATTAATAACTGAGTGTTGGGGCATTGTTATTTTTGTCACATACATCCAGTGAATGATTTTAGTACCTGTTTTTATGGGAGATTGTCCTACTTCTTGTTCATACAGATGGATGGTTGCTCTTTACTGGTACTTAGAAATGAGAGAAAAACAGCTCGCTCACTTTTCCTTGTAGGGTGAAAAGGTGAACTATGAGAAGTTCAGGGTTTGGCTATTACACAACAAAGATGCTTTCACCTTTTCTCGTTGGCTGCTGTCTGGAGGGGTATATGTGACACTCACTGATGATAGCGATACCCCTACCTTCTATCAAACGCTCGCTGGAGTCACACACTGTAAGTACATTATAGTTCTTTTTATGCATATTTTCTGAAACCATTACAGAGTTCATGAACTTAAGCTGTTGCCTTGCAGTAGTTGTTCATTAAATCTCACCACTCTGATTAGACACATACGGTTCTGCGCAGCAAGATAAGTTTATTTTTCATGCTAATTTGTTCTCTCCTTTTTTGTGCAATGACATGTAAAACACTGCTATGCACAAGGACATAGTGTGTCATTATTTATAAGAGATAACAGGAGTGAGATTACAATGCTGCTTATAAAAGCTGGTTACCAAGTAAACTTTAAAAGAACTCAGCTCTTTGATAAATACCTTCAAAGTAACTTGGCGTTAATACAGATTTTGTATTTGCTCTTTCAGGTGTAATAGATCTTGAAACTGTTGCAGTTTTGAAAATAGTGCTTCTCTTAAACATTACCTATTCATTTGTTTTTTCTGTAATGAAATAAGCAATATTTCTAGGGTACAAAAGGTGTCCTTTCACTTTTCTCAAATTTTTCAGCCTTTGGCTTAACAGAGCTATAGTTACTTCAGCAGTCTCTGTCAAAGCAAATTGCCTCAGGTGCTCCTGTTTACATTTGAGCCCCTTTTGATTGCACAGACCTATCAACAAATCAAGGTGACATTATGCTAACATTTCAACCATGTAATCCTTGTCCAGGAATACCTCTGCTGGAACAGTAATCTCTGCTTTCAATTTAATGTCAATTGTCCCCTTTAATTTCCGGTTAGCGCTTGGAGTTGTTCAACTTCGCAGTCCCAAATCTTGCTTAATTTCTCTTGCCTGTACTGCTTCCCTTACGAAGTAACTGCCGTTTCCTGGTAGGCTCAGCGATCATACCTCAGCACGATCATCAGCTTTGTTGAAAATATTCTTGAAATTGGCTCACTTGGCCTCTTAGAAGGTTGTATTTTTGTTGTTCTTACACTTCAGGGGTTAAAAATTTCAAGTGTTTGGTTTTATTTTTCATGATCCAGTTGGTATGTAATAATTTCATAACACTTCTGTGCATTGCAGCATCTGATGCTGTAACCTATAGCTACAGGAGGAAGTGTTGGCGCTTCCTCCTTTTCTAGGAAACATGCGTGGCTGCCCCTTGGCCAGCGCTGCTCTGTAAAGCTACTTGTTCTGCTGGAGAAGTTGCTGTTTTAAAGCCTCCTGAAATACATTTGGAGACTTTTGCATCTCTGAGTGTTTCAGCACAAACCGTGTCTTCTGAAAAGAAATTAATCTTGTGTTGCTAGGTAGTAGGTCAGACCACTCAGAAATTTGATGTTTTCTGGTTTTTGATTTTAGTTTTCTTCTGGCAGAACAAATGAAACAGTGTTTGTAAACCTACACAAACACTTTTAGAGCGTAGTGATGGACTGAAGGTTTTAAAATCTCTTACGGTGTGAAATGACGATGAATTTGTAAGATTCCCTATTGCAGTTTGCAGATGTATCTGCTGGATCCTGGAACTGGGCCGCTGCGCCCTCTCCTGGGACGTGGGCCGGCTCCAGCTGCAGCCCTTGGCAGGCCCTGCCTCCTCTCAGTGCGTACTCGCTGCTACGTGTCCCGAGTAATATGTCAGAGGCTGGAAAAATTGCCCCGATAAAAATAGTGAAAGTTATTAAGAGTGATTTAGAAACAGACAGCAAACACTTTATTGGAAAGCATCAGTGACTGCATTTAAATTTGCTTAATGAGGCAAGATAGCAGGGAAACAAAGGAATTCTAATTTCTCACTTGTAAATAACATTTGTTTCAGAATGCAGATGACTTTAATTATATTTCTCAACACTAATAATGAGAAATTAAATTTTGAAGTTACAGGAAGTTGCATGCACTTGCTGCTTTTAATCATTTTTTCCCATTTCACTTAATTGACAAATATGAATACTTTCACTTGAAAGCTAGAAAAATAACTTCAGTTTCTCTGAGGCTGTCTGTATATTTCCCCCAAAAGAGTTTGAGGGATTTGAGTGTCTCTTCCACCTACATATTGACTCATGAGCACTGCTTGCACTTTCTCCGTTTTGTAGCATGACTTGGGATTTTCTTGGGCCTGTTTCTTTTACCGTCACTTTGAATAGAAATGTAGTGAAACATTACAATCAAAGGTAGGTCCTGCCAGAAACTGTGACTAACACTAAAATTCTCAGTAGGAGAATATTCCCCCAAATCATTATGTATCTCTGATAACCACAAACTAAACAGCTAATCTCCCAGTACCCTTGTGCAAGGGTAGTACTGCAGGAATACAGCAATTCGTGGCCACTGGGGGATGTCGTTTTGTTGTGTGCCGTGGCTGCCTGGTATCCTTTTAATTACAGGAATAGAACTGAGGTCATTCTGCCTTCTGCCTGCAAAGTAGGGCTTTCTGTGCTTAATTTAGCCCATGGACACATAGGAACACGAGGGAGGCATGGAGGGGTCCCCGGCTCCCTGAGTGCACACCCAGAGTGTGACTGTTGTTCTTTCCGTAAGACACGGAGGCTTGTTTCTTTTTCCAGTTGTTATTATTGGGAAGCTATTCCGGTAAATCTCCATGTATCTGTGGGCTGTGGATATCTTTCTTTTCTGTCAATATTTTCCTTGATCTCAGAAAGTCCCTGTTCACCTTCCTCTCTACCCTTCAGTATAAAGGCAGATGAGGGTTTTTTTTATATATATGTATATATAAATTAGAAACATTGCATTAAAATGAGCCCAGTTTAAGGCTTTGTTTCATACAGAGTGCTTCCTCTCACTTCACTGTTCATCAGAGTGGCTTTCTTCGTCCTCCACTTTCTGCTCTGTCGGGCAGTAATTGGCTGGTGTTTGCCAGGTGAGACCTCACCTCCAGTTCTGCCGCTGCTGATGCAACAGAGGTGCCCGTTGCTTTTTTATGGCTGGGTTATTCTGGTGTCTTGCAGTATCTCACATAATGGGCTTTTATATTCAGTTTCTTCTTAGTCATTTTCAACAGAAAAAGGTTCCGATTTGTTATAGAAATTATTGGTTTCAAACTGACAGGCTGTAGAATTTGTACTTCTGTGCTGTTACTCCAGTTCCCCTGTTACTGAGCTTTTGTTAATAGCATCCTAATTGCCCTTTGAGTTAGAAAGAGCCTCTCTTTTGTCATCAGGAAAATCCATCAATGAGTAGTTGTTTTTTCTAGCATCTCTTACTTACTGAGATCCAGTAAGACAACGTGTAAAGGGTGTAATAGTATTTTGGAGTGTATGGTTGTTGCTAGTTTAATATAATAAATGAGGGAAGATCTAGATAACCAACCATAGGCAGGGCCAAAATGCAAGAGTGAATTTTTGAAACATTAGTATTTGAAATGAAACTAAATGTTGTGCAACCCATCCTGTCAAAGGTGGGCTTGTAAATGCATAGAGCTTTCTGTCAGTATCGAGCTGCGAGTCTCTTGAAGGTAAAGCTGAGCTGTTTGCTGAACTTTGCTCAAGCTGAATGTCTGTCCAGATGCAGATCGCAGTCTGTAGCTTGCCTGCTTCTGTTTTGGTGCCCACACACTTGAAACACTAACCCTTAATGGTGTATACAGGGATACTATACAATATTTCTGGTATCTATATTATAAGATCTATTTTTTGTTGTTTTGTTTTGACTAATGTGCCTTTGGCTTATTTACTTGTGTGCTATTTTTTCCCTGTGTGTGAGCACTCATGCTCTGAGCTGTATCTTAGTGTTCCGTATCTTTTCCGTATGTGCTCCCATCTAACTAAGGCACTGATGTGCACGTGCTACCTTCTGCTGGGCGAGCAGCCAGAGGCGAGCGGCTGGCACACCCCAAACCTTGGCAGAAGTTGTGATTTTCACTTCTGCGTGTGTCCTGTTYTCTTTTAAAAGAAAAAAAATAAAAGTATTGAAGCAGGTTAGGCCAATAAGAAAATGCCCTAGTGTGGCTTAATCTGCATCTTGCCGCGTAGTTATCCTCTTAGTTCCCAGGTTATTTCATGTCTTGTAAAGCAGCTCTCTGTGCCTGAGGTCTCAGAATCTTCTCCAAGATCTCTCCAAGTTAGTTTGGGAGTGACAGAGGGCTGTGTGCGCTCAGAAATACGGCTGTTTGTCGCTCGGCCTCCCGGCATGGTATGGTATGGTATGCTTCTACTGTTGTGAGCCAGAGAGAATTGTGCCAGTAGGTGGGTAAAAATTAACTTATTAAAATATGGTGAAGTCTTCTGTTATTCTGATGATATAAAATATATATATATCCTGAAAAAGACCRTAATAAGGGTCTATGCTTTCTGATGTGACTTCAACAGGCATTAGGGATATTTTATGTAAATTTCAGTTTAACTTTTAAAATATATTCAGTTTGAGTTGTTCGTGTCTAATTAATAGAAAAAGTGTTCTTTTCTGCTTTGTCAGTTTTGCTTTCTAAAATGTTAGACTTTCCTTTGTGCAAGCATAATCAGTATATTAGACCTGCCTTGGCTACCTTATCGGTGTAGCACTGCTTAGGTTCATATTTAGTGGCTATTCTTTTGAAAATGATGATTGGGAAAACCTTTGTTTTTCTTCAATGACCAGGTAATTTCAGTCACATCTTAACAGAAATGCAGATAAGATGCCCTCTGATAACCTTTTAGATGCTAGCTGTCAAATGCAATTAGTAAGTGGAGTAGAACTAGCTTATACTGCAGGTATTTYGGAATATTTTGTCTTCTGAGACAATTCGTCTTTCAGTTCTTAATTATTAAAGGTAAATAATGCACCTGCAAGAGAAAGCAACTGTCTACTTCTAAGGTTTAGCCTTCAGAAAAGACAGTGGGAACTTCCTCATCTCTTCTGAATATTCGAAAAATGTTGAATCATTTCAAGAATAAAGCAGCAGCCCTGTTTGTCTCTTTTTCTTCTCAATTTTAGCTATGTATAGTTACGCAGGTAGCTTAGCGTGTTAGCATAATGTATTTGTATTTGCTACTGAAAGAAATAAGATGTGCATGCAAATTCTTTTTAAGACTCCAGACTTGTCCTTTATAGGCAGTTTTTTAGATACCATAATGTTTTTACAAGTCTCTTAATGGTAGGATTGTGTCTCACAAAGTAGCATTTACCTTTCATTGTTCATGTTTTTTTCGTTGTTTCTTGTCTTGAAACTTTGAATGTATAGAGCTATATCTTTGCATCGCTTGCCGAGTGTAGGAAATCTAGTCCAATTGTGATACCTTGTGAGCATTGTCACACCCTGGTATCTGTAGACAAAGCAAGCTAGAGGGAAAGTGTATTTTACCTGACTGTTCTTCTGTCACCTGTCAGTGTTCTCCCTGTTGTGAGGCAGGTGGGTCACTAAGTGCACGTGACATCCCTGTGTTTCTGAGCACAGCAGAGCTTTCCTCAGTCTTTCTGTGCTTTCCTCAGTCTTTCTGTGCTTTCCTCAGTCTTTCTGTGCTTTCCTCAGTCTTTCTGTGCTTTCCTCAGTCT